GAAGAATGTACCTACCACACCTACTTTCCAAAGGACAGAGGTCCTGCTAGCATCCTGCAGTTCCAGATGTGCCTCTCCCAGCAGGGGAAAGCCTTTCAACTTAACATTGAAGCTGAGGATACAGCTATAGATTCTAATAGTTCTAGAGTATCAGAGACCATCATAAGGCAAACACTTTGTTTTGTTTTGCTGCTACTGCCGTTTTTAATGGACAAGTTCTATCACCCAAGGTGACCTAAATAACTAAAGTAAATCAATTTGACTTGGTCATCACGGACAATTCAGACACTATAAATAAAAAGAAGCTAATTTAAATTTGGCAATGTATTCGCTTCACATAACATGAAATCTCATCAATTTCAATTTTATTAACAATTGTAAAGGAGGACACAAAATTATAAATGTATAAGTTAAGAATCTGGGCTGTGACTCAGCTTTTTATTGTAAAATAAAAACATCTAACACATGTACCTTGTAAAAGTTTTAGGAAAAAATTAATATGCATTCTTTCCAACTTTTCTTACGCTCAAAATACTTATTTTAAAAAATGGAATCATGCTGTTAGGGTTTAAGAGGCCCGACTCAAATTATTTATCATTTTAGCAAAATATGGAATTTATCAAACCAAGAGTAAAATGCGGGTGAATCCAGCGTAAAAGAAAAGCGGCCAAAGGTGTCTCTCAGCACCTCTGCTTTAGGGTCACTGTCCTAGAACCCACGGCTGCCTCTCCCCAAGAACAGGTCTCCTAATTCTGGGGGCGGGGCCGCACTGGACATATTTCTCTCCTCCATCTCTGCTTTGAAAAATCCCAGGAAAGAACCCTGTAGGGCCCATATTTCTCTCCTCCCTCTCTGCTTTGAAAAATCCCAGGAAAGAACCCTGTAGGGCCCATCCCTGCAGCCAGGAATGCACACGAGAGGGCAGCTCCTGCCTGAGCCCCAGAGTCAAGAAAGGGGCCAGGACAGAAGCAAGGGAGGATGGAGGGGGGACAGACACAGCGGAGGGGAGTACAGATGAGCTGGGCACTCACCTCGAACGCCGACGACCACCACAAATACTGCTCTATCACCTGCTTTCCTCACTGACTACAGGAGCGGGTGTGTAGACATCAGAGGCACTCGAGAATCTTTTAAAAAATAGATAGGTTCCACCCAGGACTCACATCATAAGCACTTCCATGTCACCAAATATTCGTTAAAAACATGATTTTTTAATAGCGGCACAGAATTCTAAGGTGGTTCTAAATTTTTTTAATTTAATTTTATCCCTTAAATCCAGAAAACCACACGCCATCATGACCTTTTCTGAACAAAATACAAGTGTGAAAGGCACTTTAAGAAAGAAGCAACCACTGGCACGCTCACCACACCTTTTTCAGAAAGGATGCCAGAGGGGTGGGAGGGGTGGGGGTGCGCAGTAGCAGGGGAGTGGATTACCGGCAGGGTGGACACAGCTAGGTGAGCCTCTCAGACTTAACAATTAATAAAAATCTACCATTAAGGATTTTTTTAAAAATGTCTTCAAGGGACAAAGACACAAAGTACCTCAAATTAAAACAGGAAAAGCAAGGTTTGTCATTAAGCTAATTAAAGTAAGACTAAAGATTAAAAACATCACACTACAACTCAACCAAGAGAGGGAAGTTGATGTCAAGGAGAAAGGCGTCTGGGAAGTGCACACGGAAGAGTAGGGCTGTCCCCAGCTGTCACGTAGGAGCAGGGGCACAGCTGACAGAAGCACAAGGTAACCTGTAAATCCGTCACCGAAGTCACCCAACTGGCCTCCCTTGCTGAGGTCTCCTGCCAGTCAAAATTATATTCCTACTCCCCACAGGCAAGAGAACGCACTGACCCGCTGCTGCAGCCTCGGGGCACCAGCTCGGGCACCGCACCTGGCCCTGCTTCCCTTCTGCAGGGGCAAAGACCCACGGTGGCCACTGGCCATGTCCTTTTCTGACATGTCTTCCAGCTTCTCTTTAAATAAACTATTTCCAGTGGCTACCGACTGGCAAGAGGAAAGTGCCTTTAAAAAGTCTACATACCACCTGGTCAAATGAGAAGCTGAGACAATACACTGTGAATAAAAAGATCATCCTGGAGGAATGAGGAATTATTAAGTAACAGGAAGTTATTAAGGCATATGTGCCCAGTAAGCAGTCAAGACCTTATAGCCCTATCTTTCAGCAGAGCTCAGAACAAGATTTACAAGACACCGAGAGAACAAGTGTGAAGGAAGCAGAACTTCTCACATGTGACAAAATTAAGGGGAACCACAAAGTCCTTCTTGAGAGAGGAGGTGTCCCCATTTCAGAACCTGAAGGATCAGGGGAGGCCTCCGTCACTGCTGCGCAGTCACTTCTCTCCTGAACCACCCCAGCCCCCACCATGGCATCCTCTGTTGTAATGTCTCAAACCACACCCATCGCTAAATCTGCTGGGGAATCCACAGCTACACCACACCGTGGAGCTCGCTGGGGGAATAGGTGACATCCGATGTCAAGACCTAAAGACCAGGTTCAAAGGAGAGAGCCAGGTCAAATCACCCAGAGGCGGCAGAGCAGTCAAGAACTCTCTTGGTATAGAACCCATTTTCAAGAGACCTTACAAGAACCATATAATGTAAAGTAAATAACACATAGTCACTGGTTAAAAAAGCAGTTTTTAAGTTCATGTAACATGTATGCCTTACGAGTCAGCGAGTGAGAACAGTGAGACTGTATTTAACATAAATAGTTCAAAAGAGAGGTTACAGATAGGCGCGGTCTTCTTAAGATCCAAGATCCTTAATATCCAAGCTCTGTGTCTAAGCGCAGATTCAAGAAATCACAAAAGTAAATGGTTCCAAATCCGTCGGAAAAGGTCTCCGGTTACCTCAGGATCCTCTGACAACTGACCCGGAAGCCTAGAAAAGCACCCGTAGGAATGTTTGCTTTGAAATTTAATCACCTAACAATAACACCTGCCATCCTTATCAGGAATTCTTTATCAAAAATCAGGACAAGAAGACTCCATGACCAACAATAAGCAGTAAAACTGCAACAGCACTATCACCTCTCAACCTGCTTTGTGTTCCCCGCTGTTGCGTAACTCTCACGTCAGCACGCAGGGAGCAGATGTGCTGGGCTGGCACCTGCCGCGGCGGTGCACTGGCCAACATGTGCAGGCCTGCGTTCTCCCAGAGACCTGTGCATTCGCACAGCCTTCCCAGTCAGTGACCCACTGACAGAAAACGCACCAACAAACATGGCAGACAGCTCTATCCTGGCCTGGCCTGAAACCAGTTCACAATATGGGTCCCCGTGATGTTAAAACATGAATGTGCATGTTGAGTTTCTAGATGTTTAAAAACACAAATAAAAGAAATCCAAGTAAACAATTGCAGCACCCCTGGAGGATCTTACCAACGATCTACAGTACGTTTGTCAGAGGTCAGCTCTGTGTACTGAAGAGGCGGCGCTGACGAGAAGGGCATAAAAAAGAAAATAACAGCTTTGTCGAGTAATCTGTTTCACAGATTTGCCACTGTAAAATGAACTGCAATGTTGCTAAGAAAAGTATTCTAAGATCTCCCTGTTCTGTACACTGCTGCTCACTTCAAGTTGGATGAAGCCCATTATCCTGACCTATTTTTATCATAACAAAGACACACAGAAACCTGGCTCAAAAACCAAGGTTTCTTTTTGTCACCGGAGAAACAATCCTTTTTGCCACACATTTCCACTGCTCACAGACCTTTTTACTTTTACCCAACAATGTGCAGACCTATTTTTTCCCCAAGACAGGCTCATAAAGAATCTTAACTTCTCATCTGCCCATCTGGATAATGGAATGACAGCTCTTCCTCCCGGTGGTTAAGGGCAAGGAGCGGACAGCAAGACCCGGGGTCACTATTAGCTGGGAAACCCTGAACAAGATGCTTAACCTTTGTGCCTCATTTTCCTCATCTATAAAGGAGAAATAAGAGGAACAACCTCACAAGGTTCACGTAAGAATTACATGAGTTAACAGAAGCAAAAAAAAAAAAAAATAGCAGTACTAACTTGTCATTTCTACCTCTAAAGAGAAACTTAAAGGCGTCAAAATGCTCACAGATCCAATCTACTGAGAAATTCATTTAATGAGCTTTCTGACAAAACTTCTAAAAAATGTTGAGTCCCCAGACGGAGCAAAACAATTCTCATCACACCGTGTGCCACTAGCAGACACACTGTTCCCTGAGAGTTCACAGAAGTCTCTGCGTTAAGGAAAGGGAAGAACCAGCCTTCTGGGGCTGACCGGGCGCTTCCAGGCCAGGAGGCGGTGCCCGGGTTCGGGTCCAAGCGCCGCTACAGAATTTACCTAAAAGTTCTCGGCGCAGGCAGCAGAGGGGACCCTCGCGGCCGGGCCGGGGGCGCCGCGCGGGGAGGGGGGCCGTCTGCCAGCCGCGGCCGGGGTGCAGCGGGGGAGAGGCCGGGGGAGACGCGGGCAGGCAGGGGCGAGGGGTTCTCAGCCGCTCACGGGAGTTCGCGCTCCCGTCGGGGAAGGCGCCGTCGGGTCCCGCGCGCGTCCCGGAGCAGAGCGCGACCCTCGCCGCGGGCACCGAAGCGCCCCCCGGAGCCCCGCGGAGGCCCAGGTGCGGGCAGCCAGGGCTCCGGCGCCCGCGAGGGTCGGGGGGCCGCGGGCTCGGGGGTGGGGGGCGCCGCGGGCTGCAGCGGGGGGCCGGCGAGCGCGCCCCGGGGGAGCGGGCGGGCAGGAGGGGCCCCGAGGGCAGGCGCCCGTGCATCTGCTCCCCGAGCCTCCTTCTCCCCTACAGGGGGTCGGGGGAGGCGGCGTCCGCCTCTAGCTGCTGCGAGGGGGGTCCGGGCTGCCCCCCGCGTCCCCCCGCGCCCGGCGAGGCTGCAGCGGGCGGCCCGGCGCGGGGGGCGGCGGCGGCGAGGGGTCCCGCGCGGGAGCGGCGCCGCGCCGGGCCCCGGGGCTGCACCCCGCCCTCCGCCCCGCGGTCCCGCCCGCGCCCCGCTCACCTGGCCGCCCGGCCGCGCTCGGGCTCGGGCTCGGGTTCCGGCGGCGGCGGCGGCTCCTCCATGGCGGCGGCGGCGGGCGCGGGGACCAGCGCGGCGGCGGCGGCGGCGGCTTCTCTCATCCGGGCACGGGGCCCCGCATGGCCGCGGCGGGCCTCGGCGGCTGCCTGGCGCGGGACCGGAGCCCCGAGGTGCGGGAGGGACGCGGCTCCGCCTCTAGCCCGCCGCGGGGCCCGCTCGCGCCGCGGCCATCTTGGGGACGGCGCCCGGCCCGCGCCGGCTACGGCGGGCGGCGAGGGACACGCCTCCTCGGGCGCGCGCGGGCGGGCGGGCGGCGAGGGACACGCCTCCGGGGGCGGGGCGTGCGGCGAAGGACACGCCCTCGAGGGCGGGGCGGGCGGCGAAGGGCACGCCTCCGGGACGGGGCGGGCGGCGAAGGACACGCCCTCGAGGGCGGGGCGGGCGGCGAAGGGCACGCCTCCGGGGCGGGGCGGACTGCGAAGGGCACGCCCATGGGGCGGGGCGGCGCGGGGACACGCCCCCAGGGCGGGGCGAGCAGAGCAGGACCTGAGCGCTTCCGAAGCGGGGCGGGGAGGGGGGGGGTTCGCCTCCCTGGAGATCGGGGGGCCGCCGCCCTGGAGATCGGGGGCGGGGGTGCTCCTGCTGAGGCGCACAACCCGGTCTCGCGGGCGGCCCCGGCCCCAGGGCTCGGCCGGGAGGGGGAGCGTGTCTCGGTTGCAGGTCTTGACAGAATTTCCCACGGGTGAAGCCTGGAGGGAGCTCCCAAATAGCCTCGTTCCAAATGAGTCTCTTTCTACTTCGTCGGAAGTGCTGGCTTCTCAAGCCTCATCCGGTTGAGCCTGAGTAAAATACACGTTTCGAATCAATGCTGGTAAGAAAATTAGCCCAGATGGGAAAAACTTAAGTACAATTATGTTTAGGGGCCAGATGTGCTCAAAAGTACATTAAATTTTTGCATGCAGCGTGTTCATGTGTTTTGTAGTCAGGAAACCAGCTACATTGCACGCCAGGTGCGCCTCTAGAAATTTCTCTGTGGTTTAAGAACTGTTCATCACGAATCTGAATGGTGTCTTTATCCTGCTAGCGTCCTTCACTTTATTTAACTACATTCTTTCAATAAATACCTATTAAATGCATCTCTGCGCTAGGACCCGTACTAGGTGTTGCGGATACAGCAGTGAGCCAGACACGCCAAGTCTTTTCCCTGTAGAGCCAGCATCCTAGCCAAGTAAGGGGAAGAGAGAGAAAAACAAAAACAAGTAAACATATAGTATGTCAGCTGGTGGTGACTGCGAGGGAGAAAAGCCAGCAAGGAAAGGGGTTGGAGAGAGGAAAGTTATTTTACAGAGATGAGTCAGGATAAAGTTATGAGATTCAGTCTCACGACTCTTTCAAAAGATAACGATAATACTTACAGAATTTCATTTTTTCTTTTAAAACAGTTGCATGATCAAATCCTTAAATTGTATCCTCACTAACTCATCTTCAAGTATTTCACTGTGTTGGATATGGATAAGTCACCGTTCACAAAAATATTCCTGGGGACAAGGACAGTTAAAACCTAAGACTTGCCCATGGGTCTCCAAGCTGGTAAAACCGTGTGATTTGCACTTAGGCAATGTGTAGTTCATTGTTTTAACTTCCATTTGAGGTTCTATTTTAGCAGTAACCAAACAAATTTACATTCAACTGATTGTGAGACGCATCTTGTGAAAACCCTCAGCAGTTTATTTCAGTGGATCCACCTGTTCTACTCCCCGCTCTGTCTCTGGTGACGCCTCTCACCCTCCTGCACCTCTGGCCTACACCCCAGCTCTTCTATGCATAAGTAAATAAATCTAAAACAGAAAAAAGAGAACCTCAGTCCTAGTATGAAGACCCTAAACTCAGCCTCACACACATGGAGTGCCCCACACACAATGACACGGTGACATCTGTCTGTACCTATAGGATACATTCAAAAGATAAGTTACTGCACTTAAAAAATAGTCCTTGTAACAATGCTGTTTCACCCTCCTCTGGTGAAAGTGGAAAATCACATAAAAATCTCTGCTTTTTTTTTTTTTTTTTTGAGAGAGAGGTGACGTGCTTCTTTTTGCTATTTCTCCACCAGAACACAAAACACCCCCTTATTTCAGACATTCTTTCTTGTACAAAGGGTCTAAATGTATCCCCAATCATTACGCAAAGGAAAACAATTTTCTCTCTCTTTTTTTTTTTTTGATTCTTTCTTTTAAAGGCTAGAACAATCTGAGCAAAACTACTAAAGGGGAATGAAAGGAATGAAACTATGGGAGGGAAGGGGCCTCTAGATCTGAACACTAGAATGTAGAGGTGGGGAAACCCACAAAGTGAAGAGCACCCGTCTGTTGCAGGTCCTCTGGAAGGGCAGCAGAGCCCACATTTCTTTATTGTGTCTCTGGCTCTTCTGACTCTCTGTCCTCTGCCAGTATGAGGGGCAGAGAGCCTGAGAAGAAATGAAGTCCCCAAGGAGCTGCTCTTCACACCCGCTGGGAAATGCCACCGTCTCCCCGGCCGAGAGGCCTCAGCCCTTGCCTGACTCACCCTTTCGTTTCTCTTTGAGATGACCAGGTGCGAGTTTAAAGAACTGTGAAATAGTCGGCTGCAGTTCCTACTTTATTTTCAGATCCCCTCTGCACAGCCCGGAACCTGGCTGGAGACCCACTGACACCAGCGAGGTGCCCTGGGCTGGCCTCCAGGGCCCCACCCACGCCCTTGCTGGGAGACTGCTCTGTGCCCCACCACCTGCCCCCCCAGCCAGACAGGTGCTTCTCTTAGTGTTCCCACCATGTCTTGGGCAAGTCCTTCCTTTACCACTCCCTTCCTATCTGCATCTAAGCATTGGTTTGATTACTGTGTATTTCTTTCCTCTGTGGTCTCAGAGCAGGCCATATTTCTTGCTATTACTGTAACTTCCACACCTGCAATAACATCTCTGTCTATGCGCAATAGAATATTTGCAGGAAAAAATGAATTTCGTACTTGTAAGAATATATGGAGGGTGGTGGGTGGGTGAAAGGATCGACCTTGGGAACTAAGTCTAAGATAAAAATGACTATGGTACAAGTGACCTCTAAGAAGCATCATAAGGCAGAGAGTTTGCTGTTGAGTCCAACACAGGTTCTCAAGACTCAGAGACAACTGAAGCCAAGTGGACACAGGGAGGAAGGAAAGCTATGTAAAAACAGACACTTGATATGAGGGACAAAGCAGGGTTTACATAATATGCAAAGCTTTTTGTCACATAAAAAACAATAGAAAGAACAGAAATAACCCGGAGTCTTAACCTGACAGAGGAGCAGCCTAGCGGCCTCCGGTGTCCATGCACTTACCATCACACAGAAGCTCTTCCTGTTCTAGGGAGATAAGGTTGTTACGGACACACGCTGAGAGGGAGAGCAAAGCTCCGATGTTTGTTGATGTTTGTTGAGATATGGTTTGCGCACATCGGAAACATTTTGTGCCAACGGATTCATAACCCAAGGCCAAAACTTCAAAGGCGTCTTCAGAGCAGCGTGTCCCCTGAGTGCATGAAGCCACCTAACCTGTCTTCTCAGAGCCAAAGATTCTTTTCTTTGTCAACCCCTAAGGCCCCAAAACTTGAATTTTCTAGTTTCCTAAGGCAGGCTGTTCCACATTTTGGCCATTCATATTCTTAGGAAATTGTAGTAACTCCAGACCTGCCGCCTTATTTACCATCTATCCATGATCCACCTAGGACTAGGCTAATGTAGAGCTGTTTGACATTTGAGAATGGCTGTTTTGTGATTCTCCCCAAAATGACAACCAAAAATATCTATTAAATTTTTTTCCCAGGTTAATGGTCCTCTCCTCCCCTCTCCCTGCAGACTTGGGTAGGAGAGGCTGGAGATAATTCCATCGGAAGATTTTCCTTAGACTGGTTTACAAATTCGGATTTGACTAGGTTATGATCAAACTAACCAGGAGCTGAAACGCTAACTTCACAATATTTTAAGTTCAAATACATTTTGAAAATATAATTGGAGGACATTTGAGGAAAGAATGTTGATTGGTTAATTTTCCTATTTAAACAAAGGACATTACATATTCACAGCCACCAAGATCCTGGTTGGTTGGACCACTGCTTCTCAGTGAAGTGCCTGTGGCTCGCCTGGGACCTTTTTAAATTGCAGGTTCTGAGCCTCCCTGGTGGCCTGGGGGTTCAGTGTCAGCACTATTACTGCGGAGGCCCAGGAGCAGGCCTGGAGACACCGGTGCCCAGGGAGAGGGCAGGGCAGAACATAGGTGCCCCAAGGCCAGGGGGACAGACACAGCTCAGAAGATTTGAGGACAAGGGCAGATGGTGTCTGGGGATGGAGCACGATGCCCTTATTTCATGGCCACTGGCAGGCTGAGGCCTTTCTTCTCAGTGCAGTCTTCATCGGGGACTCTCAGGACCTGCACTGGCACAAGGAGAGGTGGATGGAGTGCATTTAGGAGCGCCTGCCGTTCCCCAGCAGCGCAGACACCGTGTGTAAGGGCCCTGGCACCAAGGCCAGCCCCGGGGAGAGGGGTGGCCCGTGTCCCCCTATGAATATCTCGGGACAGGGGCAGACTGCACAGCTCTTACTAGCTCAGCAGCCTCTGGTGTGATTCATTCATCCACCCCCCAGCAGAGTCCTCCCAGGCCTTCCCAGGAGCCCGGACCTCGCGTGAAAGGCCAGCCTGAGCTGGCCGCTGGGACACGGCAGAGTAATTCAGGCCAGACTCTGCGTGTCCCCTGCGGCCTGCCAGGTTATGAAGCGCTGTTATTATTGGGTCATCACTAGCGTGTTTATGAAGTGGCCACGTAAGGGCAGGTGTGTGGGAGAGTTCTGGACACTTTATCTGGGTGTTGGGTTTGCCCCTATTTTCCCTTTGGAAAATGCAAAAACAAAGGTGGTTATCAATATGGCATGGGAGCCGCTGGCGACCGTGGAAAGGTGGGAACAGCGAATGCACGGGCAGGACAGTGGCCTGGTCCTCTGGGTCCAGGCCCCTGGGG